CTGCTTCTCCCTCTGACCCTCCTCCCTCTCATGCTCTCTGTCTCTCATTCTCTCTCAAATAAATAAATAAAATCTTAAAAAAAAAAAAAAAAGAAAACCACTTTCCTGGGACATCTGGCTGGCTCAGTTGGTAGAACATGTGACTCTTGATCTGGGGGCTGTAAGTTCAAGCCCCATGTTGGGTGTAGAGATTACTTAAAAAAAATAAAAATCTTAAAAAAAAAAGAAAAGAAAACCATTTTCCTAAAGAGAAAAGTAGCAGGGTTAATATTAAAAAACAAAAACAGGGGTGCCTTGGTGGCTCAGTTGGTTCAGTGTCTGCCTTCCGCTCAGGTCATGATCCCGGGAGATCCCGGAGACCCAGGATTGAGTCCCACATGGGCTCTCTGCTCAGCACGGGAGCCTGCTTCTCCCTCTCCCCCTGCTCCTGTGCTCTCTCTCTCTCTCTTTCACTCACTGTCTCAAATAAATAAACAAACAAACAAATAAATCTTAAAACAAAAACTGACTTTAGACAGCCACCAGCATCGTAATAATAGTTAACAGAGGAGGCACCTGAGTGGCTCAGTCAGTTAAGCACCTGACTCTTGATTACTGCTCAGGTCATGATCTTGGGGTCCTGAGATCAGCCCCACTTCTGGCTCTGCGCTGGTCATAGAGCCTGCTTGAGATTCTCCCTCTCCCTCTGCCCCTCTCCCCACTCGTGCTCGCGCGCGCTCTCAAAAAAAATTTTTTTTTAATTGTTAACAGAGACTGAGTCCCCAGTGTGGGGTACACTGTGTTTACATTAGCTAGCTCATTTATTCCTCCCAAAAGCCAGACAAGGTAGATACTAATTATTAGCATACCCTATTAAACATCAGAAACCCAACGCTCTGGGAATTAGGTTTACTGTGCAAGAAAAGCTGTCCTACAGGAGCTATGTTACTAGAAATGGGATCGAGGACTTGAGGTTTCTAGCCAGCCCTGCTTCTGGCCCCGCCCCTGGCCCCGCCCCCGCGGCCCACACGTCCCGCCCTGCTCCGCCCCGCCCCCACCCCGTCTTCGCTGGGCTCCCCGCCCCTAACACGCCCCTGACTCGCCCCCTGCCCAGCCCCAGCGCGGCCCTAGTGCGTGCCGCCCCTTGGCCGCGGGGAGCGGCGCCTGCAGTGCCAGTCGTGGCCGCCGGGGGGCAGCCGCGCAGCTCGGGCCCGACCGCTCTGGGCCGCGCTCCTCACTCGTCCTCCGACTCGGCTCCGGCTGCGAGTGGTAGCCCTGCCCGCGCCCAGCGCCAAGCCGCCGGGCTCCCCGCGCCCGACCCAGCAGCTCGGCTCCCCAGGGCCGGACTGAGGCCGCAAGCAGCGCCGCGGGGTGTGGGGCGGACCCAGGAGATGAAATGACAACGTCAACCCTCCAGGTACCTCGGCGCGGCCGGTCTCGGCTTCCGGAGGCCGGAGGAGGCGCGGCGGGGCCTGCGAGCCAGCAGTCGGGCGGGCGGGCGGCTC